GGGGCACAGAGACTGGGAGAATATTAATGTCCCTGACTTTATAAAGGATCAGGCTGGGCATAAGTAAATTAGCTTAAGCTCTGAGGAGTACTTGACAGGGCTCCACTTTGGGAGAAGTTTGGATAGGTGAAGGCATGTAGGAGTGGAGTTCTGGAATTTTCTGTTTTCTTTTGTTGTATGACATTTGTTAGTATGCCTGTGAGAATAGATTTTTTAACATTTATATTGTATTTCTCAGTAATAATTGCACAGAACATTACCCAAGTAGAGGAATAGTGTTATACTGAAAGCATAAAACAAGCTGGTGTCAAAACTACAGCAAAATATGATACTAAATATTTAGTAGCTTTGTTTTTACTTCATAAGCATGATCAAGAATTTGAGCTCATGAATTCAAACATATACAATGTCCACATGAAAGATGACAAAAAAAGTTCCAGAGCAAAATATATCTTTTGAAATATATTGCTTTGGGGGATAAAGAAATAATTGAAATTATATCATATGCCCAAATCATAAGTTTTGAAAGGAAGTAGAATTGTTAAAACACTTGTATGTCTTTCTAAAATTCCTGATCTGATACCATTTCAACTTAGGGGATGACAAATTCACTATTTTTGTACCAATTCCATTTTTAGTTGCTCCTTAGTTACATCTCTTTGCAGAAATTTCTTTTTACTGTTTTTTCTTACATTACTACAGTTGGCTTAGAGTTAATATTGTACCTTGTCATATAAATTTGCAAAAGCACTTTTTGGCTCTTCAATCCTATGTACCATTGCCATTGCTATGTGTCACATGCACACAAATTAAAAGCTATATAATAAAATATAATATTTTGCTAAAGCAGTCAGTTGTCTTACTGATATGAAGAGAAGAAAAAATAGAGCTTTTATATTTGCCCAAATATATATAATTATATGGGCTTTTTATTTTTTCTTGTAGATAAAGTTTTATCCATTGTCAATTCCCTTAAGGTTTAGAGAATTTCCTTTAATATATTTTGTACTATATTATAGCTGAAATAAATTCTCTCAGCTTTTTTTTAAATCTGAAAATACTTTTTATTTTGTATGAATTTTTAAAATGGTGTCTTCATTAGGTAAAGAATTTTGGGTGGACAGATTTTTCTTTTTCACCATAAGTTTTGAATTCCATTTTTATCTATGGAATTCATAATACTGGTTTTAAGATTAACTTTTTTTAAACATATGTCCCTATTATTCCCCCATTGACCACCTCCAGCCCACCCCCACACACTGAGCCAGCCTCTGCACCTTATTGTCTGTGTCCATGGGTTATGCACATATGCATACAAAGTCTTTGGCTAATTACCTCCCACCCACCCATGCTTCCCCCCCTTCCCTCTGAGATTCTGAACTCTGTTCCATGCTTCCATGTCTCTGGATCCATTCCGTTCATCAGTTTATTTGGTTAATTAGACTCCACATATGAATGAGATCATGTGATGCTTGTCTCTGTCTTACTGACTTATTTCACTTAGCATGATACTCTCCAGGTCCCTCCATGCTGTCTCAAAGGATAAGAGATTCTACTTTTTTACTGCTGCATAGTATTCCATGGAATAGCTTTTCACCACTCATCTGATGTACCACTCATCTACAGATTGGCACTTGGACTGTTTCCAGATCTTAGCTATTGCAAATTGTGCTGCTATGAACATAGAGGTGCATACATTCTTTCTGTTTGGTGTTTCAGGTTTCTTAGGATATATTCCTAGAAGTGGAATCACTGGGTCAAATGGCAGTTCCATATTTATTTTTTTTAAGGAAATTCTGTACTGTTTCACATAATGGCTGCACCAGTCTGCATTCCCACTAGAAGTGTATTAGGGCTCCTTTTTCTCCACATCCTCCCCAGCACTTGTCATTTGTTGATTTGATGATGGTAGTTGTTAACAAGTGTGAGGAGATACCTCATTGTCCTTTTAATTTGCATCTCTCTGATGATCAGTGACTTTGAGCATTTTTCATATGTCTCTTGCCATCTGTATGTCCACTTTGGAGAAGTGTCTATTTAGGTCCTTTGCCCATTTTTTAATTGGGTTGTTTGTCTTTATCATGTTAAGTTGTATGAGTTACCTATATATTTTGGATATTAACCCTTTATCAGATGTATCATTGCCAAATATGTTCTCCCATATAGTGGGCTCCCTTTTCATTTTGTGATGGTTTCGTTTGCTGTGCAGAAGCTTTTTATTTTGATGTAGTCCCATTTATTTTCTACTAAGTTTCCTTTGCCCTAGGAGATGTATTGGTAAATATATTGCTCCAGAGATGTCTGAGATTTTGCTGCCTACGGTTTCATCTAGGATTTTTATGGTTTCAAGACTTACATTTAAGTCTTTTATCCATTTTGAGTTTATTTTTGTGTATAGTGTAAGTTGGTGGTCTAGTTTCATTTTTTTTTTTTTTTTGGCGTGTATCTGTCCAATTTTCCCAACATCATTTATTGAAGAGACTGTTTTGACTCCATTGTGTGCTCTTGCCTACTTTGTCAAATATTAATTGAGAGTAATGGCTTGGGTCAATTTCTGGGTTCTCTGTTCTGTTTCATTGATCTCTATGCCTGTTCTTGTGCCACTACCAGGCTATTTTGATTTTGGTGGCTTTGTAGTATAACTTGATATCTGGTATTTTTACTCCTCCAACTTTGTTCTTCTTTCTCAAGATTGCTACTGCTATTTGGAGTCCTTTTTGGTCCAAAATATATTTTTGAAGTATTGTTCTAGTTCTGTGAAATATGCTGTTGTTATTTTAATAGGGTTTGCATTGAATCTGTAGATTGCCTTGGGTAGTATGGACATTTTAATGATGTTGATTCTACCAATCCATGAACACGGAATATTCTTCCACTTGTTTGTATCTTCCTCTATCTCTTTTCTCAATGTCCTGTAGTTTTCTGAGTACAAGTCTTTTACCTCCTTGATTAAGTTTATTCCTAAGTATCTTAATTTTCTTGTTGCAATGGTAAATAGGATTGCATTTTTGATATATCTTTATGAGAATTCATTATTGGTGTATAAAAATGCCATTGATATCTCGGTGTTGATTTTGGATTTTGCTTCATTACCAAATTCATTTATTAAATCTAGTAGTTTTTTTGGGTGGAGTCTTTAGGGTTTTCTATGTACAATACCATGTCATTTGTGAAATAATGAGAGTTTTACTTCTTCCTTTTTAATTTGGATGCCTTTTATTCTTCTTCTTGTCTGATCACTGTGGTTAGAACTTCAAGTACTATGTTGAATAAGAGTAGTAAAAGCAGACATCCCTGTCTTGTTCCTGTTTTTAGGGGAAACACTTATTTTTTTCCCATTGAGTATGATGTTCACTGTAGATTTGTCGTATATGGACTTTATCATGTTGAGATATGCTCCCTCTCTTCTCACTTTGCTGAGAGTTTTTATCAAAAATGAGTGTTGGATTTTGTTGAATGCTTTTCTGCATCTATTGATATGATCATGTGATTTTTGCCTTTCAATTTGGTTATGTGATGTATCCCATTTATTGATTTGCAAATATTGTACCAGCCTTGCATCTCTGGAATAAATCTCACTTGGTCATGGTGTATTATCTCTTTAATATATTGTTGGATCTGATTTGGTAATATTCTGCTGATAATTTTAGCATCTGTTTTCATCAGGGTTATTGGCCTGTAATTTTCTTTCTTTGTAGTGTCTTTTTCTGGTTTTGGAATTAGGATATTGCTAACCTCGTAAAACGAGCTTGGAAGTGTTTCTTCCTCTTGCATTTTTTGAAATCGTTGGAGGAGGATAGGTTTAAATTATTCTTTGAAGGTTTAGTAAAACTCACCTGTGAAGCCATCTAGACCAGGGCATTTGTTTGCTGGGAGTATTTTAATTACTGCTTCAATTTCATCAGTTGTTATTGACCTACTCACATTTTTTGATTCTTTCTGATTCAGTTTTGGGAGATTGTAGTTTTCTAGGAATTTTTTCATTTCATCCACATTGTCCAGCTTATTGGCATATAGTTGTTCATAGTATTTCCTTACAATCTTTTCTATTTCTGTGGTGTCAGTGGTTACTGCTCCTCTTTCCTTTCTGATTTTATTTTTGGGGGCATCCTCTCTCTTTGTTTCTTGATTAGCATTTAGAGGTTCATCAATCTTGTTTATCCTTTCAAAGATCTATCTCTTGGTTTCATTGATTTTTTGTATTGCTTTTTTAGTCTCCATGTCATTTATTTCTGCCCTGATCTTTATTATTTCCTTCCTTCTACTTGCTCTGGACTTTTCTTGTTGCTCTCTAATTCTTTAAGTTTTAGGATTAAATGCTTTATTTTTAATTTTTCTTGTTGTTGTTTTGTTTGTTTCTTTGTTTTCTGAGGTAG